CCCGCTGTAGAAAAGTTACGTTGTGTTACAGGATCATCCCCTCCCTCCTGCTGTAGAAAAGTTACGTTGTGTTACAGGATCCCCTCCCTCCTCCTGCTGTAGAAAAGTTACGTTGTGTTACAGGATCATTCCCTCCCTCCTCCTGCTGTAGAAAAGTTACGTTGTGTTACAGGATCATTCCCTCCCTCCTCCTGCTGTAGAAAAGTTACGTTGTGTTACAGGATCATCCCCTCCCTCCTCCTGCTGCACGTCGCACAGAGCGAAGCTTTAACTGTAGTTTTTCACACACAACTGTCGGAGAAAAATATGTTTTTTTATGTATTCTTACCCACAGAGATTATTTTTAAAAAAGACGTGGACATTCGTTCAGTCGTAAATCCATCTTGCTAATGTAAAGTGGGCTTCTGCTCTGATGATGATGATGATGAAGAAGATGAGCGCACAGCAGCTGATAAGTTCAGCTGGCAGATATTAAAGTAAAAATGTTGGGTTTAATTAAGATTACAGCTTTCTGAAAAAATAATGCTCTAAAAAATTACATTATCAACTTTTTATGATAATTATATACCGAGATGTATACTGTTACTGTGAAGGGGTTCAGTTCATACCCTGATATGAATTTGAGGTCATACCGCCCAGCCCTAATTTAAACATAAGACAAATGTTTTTTCAGACTTTGTGCTTGGAAATATACAATTAATCTTTACTACTGACCACAGTCAGCTTCCAATCTCTGCAGGTCTGAAATTTAAAGGAGAAACAATATAACATACTGAAAACCCTTTCTGAAGTTTGAGACCTGGTGACATGCTGTTTTTATTTATTTATTTATTTATTTATTTATTTATTTATTTATTTGTTTATTATTCAGTTTTATAGCATTTCATTTAAAAACTAATCAAATACACAGTCCAACAACTCTAAAACTCTTACAGACCAGTTGTAACTGGCAACATATGGCACAGCAGCAAGGTGCCTTGTTTCACTAATGTCAGATGCTAAAGTTAGCTTGTTTGTTTCAAGATAGCATAAGCTTTACCTGGTCCTGGGGGAAGTCTGCAGCTGTACAAAGTGGAGAAACTCTCACTTTCTCTCTGACGAGACTTAAAAAAATAAAACGCTTACACTATAGGAACAGTATGACAGAAAATTTTAGTGGTTTTGAAACTGACTTTTTCGTATCACGGCATACCGTGAAACTGTTAACTAGCCCATGCCTAATGGCCAAATGGAAATGTTGTGAATTGACCTCTGCGCCACCTAGTGGCAGTAAAAAGCTGCCTTATTGTGTTTAAAAAAACACCCTCTCCCACTCATCTTTCATCTTTAGCAGCTTCAAAATTACTGTGTGAAGTTTAGACCCTTTAAAAACCCAGAAAATATCATCACTCGCAGCCACCAGCATGGCCAGGGCTGCTTGGTCACCTTAAATGGGTCCCCAAAAGTTCATAGCTGCCATTTTCATAATATTCTAGATGGTTGGGCTTCTCCAAACTTAGAAGTTATTTAAAACTTGAATAAATCTGAGACACAAAATACAGATGTGCTTGCTGCAAATTGGCTCTCTACAGCCATCTTCATTGCAGCTCCTCTGGCTATTTCAACGTATAAAATGTTGTGCATCTGTGCATCAGTTCATGTAGAAAAAAAAGTGTCTCAACACCATGTTCTAAAACATACAAAATGACAGCCATTTTGAACAATAAGACAATTTTCCCCCTTTCAATTTTTTTCTTTAATTTGCAGCATATTGACTTCAAATTTGGGCCAAAGCGTCTTTACAACCTAGTACACAAAAGTTATCAATGGTTGTTGGTTAATCTGATTACTGTGGGAATGGGATTTTTTATCTTTAATCTCTTATTGTCAGTGGCCTTTTTAAACTGTTGTATTTGGCAGTACTTAACAAAAGTTGACAGAGCAACGATTGGTTTCAGGGGTAGACGTAAGGAAACTTCTCAGGTTGTCCAGCAGACAAACTCTTGACAAAATCTTGGGTTTCTGCAACCTTTAAATTAAAATTGCCAAAACTTCCAAGAGAATTGTAATTTAATAAATATGTTGTACTCTACAAATGTTGTCAGTCACCCATCTTGTAGACTGCTTGGAGTTGTCAAGCTCCTGAAGGCCAGACTGTACAGGCACTGTAAGAACTTCCTTGTTCACCTCCTCATCCTCTTGTTGTTGGACGTTGCAAGAGAAGCACAGTGTAGTTAAGGCTCAGGGTTAAAGCAGAAAAGAAATACTTAGACTAAAATTATTCAAATCAAAATACCACACAGTCAAGAGTTTGTTCCTGAATGTCAAAGGTTTTCACGTAAAGTGGAGTATATTGTGTACGTGACTTTAGTAAAAGTATGTAGAAGTACACAATATAGTGTTCTCTAATGAGGTGTTTCAGTTTCAAGACTTTAACCTGCTCCATTTACTTTCTCAAGACTGACACTGTGATGGAGGAGAGGGTTTTCTCCTTTCTCTAGGTTGTATCAAAGGGATGGGTCTGATCCAGGATCAGTATTGGGCTCCCCATACAAACATATTTAATTTAATTTAATTCAGTTTATTTATACAGCTCCAAGTCACAACATGCGTTGTCTCAGGACACTGTAGATAAAAAGAACAATGTAAAGAATTTAGCAGCAGATTGTGTTGAATCACTTCATCACAGTCTCCCATCCTGAGCAAACGGTGGAGAGGAAAAACTCCCTGCTAATCAGGAAGAAAGCTCCAGCAGAACCAGGCTCAGGACAGGAGACCATCTGCCTCGATGGATCAGAATTTTCTCATCTAATGGAAAGAAAAGTCTGATCCATGAGCCGTGTCTGTGCCATAATGTTGTCTGCTGAGATGACTCCAGAAGTGATTCCTGGCTGCTGCTCTGCTAGCTGGATGCACACTAACGAATGAATTTCCTAAATGGATGTGAGTTTCAGTGAGAATAATGTACAGGAAATCCGTTCCATAGTTTTCAGCCAGCTATCAAGTGAGAGCCTGACCGTTGCCTTCCTATGTAATTCTGCTCGACTCTCATCTTTTTCTGCTCTGTCTGGGCTTTCTGTCGTTGACGTGGATTTTGCTGGTAGAATTTCAACCAGGCGTATTAGTGAACAGAAGGAGTTGTGAGCGACGGTTTTCTGCACCATTTTAGATTGCCTGTAGCTTAGCAGTGACAGCAGAGGAAGTGAATGAAGCCGTTCAGTCCATGTTCACAAAGCTTCCAGATTGGTCTCAAAAAGCCTGCAGCACTCATTAAGCTGGAAACATACTCGCTCCGACACTGACGGCTCGACGCACGGTCACGTGGTTGTTCGGCAGTCGTTTTCACACAGACCTTTCACACCTGCCCTGGTAACAGCATGCAGAGTGAGCACAGAAGTACGACACAGGAGGAGGGGAGGAAAAAAACTGTAACAGACTCTGCCTCTGGGTCTGACTCAGTCTCATATAAACGGCTGTACAACGGAGCTTCTGCTGTTATTAGCCATGCTAACGTAAACGCTGGCTTTGGAGGGCGGAGTTAATGTCAACAGATTTTTGGAGGGRGGAGTTAATGTCAACAGATTTTTGGAGGGCGGAGTTAATGTCAACAGATTTTTGGAGGGCGTTACCAACAGAGCTCATTAACATAAACAGCTCTTCTGAACAGAAGTCAGAGCAGGCAGAACMYYKAAATGYGAAATTTTATTATCTGAGAATTATTTTGTGCATTAAATTGAATGAAGATGGTCTGGATAGCCCACAGACATACCATAAACATTTCTACGACCCATAACTGGTCTCCTTTAATTTCATCTTGCATTTTTCCCATAAGCCTATTTTTAAGAAAAAATTTCTTTGAGTGGAATATGTTCTCCTATTACCAGAATTCCTACATGCGTAACATTCTAAAGGATGTGGGCGACACTTGTTTTTATTTGTATGATTCATTTTCAGATGAGAAACAACAAGAAAACAGCCATACTGATCAAAGAGGTCAACACTAAGAAGAGGTTGTTCCTGGTGTACAGGCCCAACACTGGCAGACAACTCAAACTGGAAACATATGCAGACATCAAGAAAAAGTATAAAAAGGTGAGATGTTCATCTTTTACTTAAACCTAATATTATGGTAGATTTACATGTTTGGTGACTTGATTAATTTGTTGTTATTTACTCTATTAGGTGTTGTCAGAGGATGCAAAGCAACACTGGACTGACCAGTACCAGTCTTCAGGGAAAATATGCTCTCATGCATTTTGGTGTGTGCACTTTTCAGTCTAACAACTATTTTGTAATCTTATTTCTATGTGTCTGAAAATCTTCATTGTTGTGCAGAATGTTTTTATAAGCTTAAATGCACATTCACAAGTTTAATTTAACAAGTCATCCTTCTGCTAAGCATTGGACTGATCACAGACTTAACATTCATTGAAGCATATTACCCACCAACTTTTATGTTGCAGTAAAGTCTCAGGGCAAAAAGAGGTTTGGACCAACCTTTTGTAGTTAATGTGTGTTAGCACACAGAGATTGTGTTGCAAACAGGAGTGAAAGTGGTTTTAAATTCTTGCCGGTACTGTTGTATAAAATGTTATAACTGTCCCCATGCAAGCAGCGTTCTTTTTCTTGGTTAAAAAAGGACAAACTGTTGACAAAATCTGGTTGTCCACTGGACGACCGGGAGGTGGGATCTGGTTGTCCTCTGGACGACCGGGAGGTGGGATCTGGTTGTCCTCTGGACGACCGGGAGGTGGGATCTGGTTGTCCTCTGGACGACCGGGAGGTGGGATCTGGTTGTCC